GGGGGTCGTGGATTTTTGGTTGGTGGAGGATCACCACCATTGGCCTCGCTTTGATCGGCCAACGGTCTCATAGACGGTCACGGTGTCGGGTTCCACGTAGACAGGGGTAGGAACTTCGACGTAAATCTCGGTGGTTTTGCCAGAGCCAGCAGCCGTTGGGGTACCGACGTAGGTCTCTGGGGTTGGTCGAGCTGCAACACGGGTAGGAGCCGGAGCCGGGGGTTGAGTAGCGCCAACAGGAGGAACAGGCATTTCCTGGAATTCCTGGAACTGAGGGAGAGAACAAGTGCACCGGTCAGCGTGATCTGATTTTGAAGAAAGCAGAAAGAAAAACCTGAGGAACTCAGGGAGGGAGGGGAGACGGCACGAACATTGATGGACGAATGTATAGGCAGGTTGGTTGGAGGTTATACAGAGATGGATGAGTCCTTGAAAGTCGTAACTAGAATCGTAGATGGGGTGTATGTGTTGTCCGATAGTTCGTTGTCCAGTGCCGATGAGATCCGTTCCAGATTGCCGTGCATCCCCTCCCTCATTTAATGGTTGCGAGGAGGAGTCGGGTTATTCACCTTGTTGGGAGGGGGTACTGCTCTCCTTGTCTCTCCATAGTAGTGGCGAGGTGGCTGTTGCTCATGTTCATAGATAACTTCTTCGAGGGGCTCGTGGTGAAGTTTCCTGGTAACCGCGCGTTAGACATTTGACATATTCAAGCAAGTCTGATCCAAAAACTTACTGGAGTTGGTCGATGACCCAGCTTTCACGCTTGGTGGTATCGGATTCACGCTTGCCGACGGCTTCTTCGCGTTGACCGACCTCCTTCTCGCGATCGGACATCTTCAACTCGCGTTGAAGGATACCCTCAATGCGGTCTTGCAACCATGCGGGGTTGGAGGGCTCAACTTCCTTGATGACCTCAATCTCCTTGATGACGGTGTGAGTAGCAGCGGGAGGAGCGGGGGGAGTGGCACGCTGGAGGACCTGGATCGCAGGAGCTTGCTCGACGATTTCCTCGACAACAGATTCGCCGCACAGGGGGCAGGCGATTCCCCAACCACCGGGACGTCCGGCGAGAAGCTCGGCCTCGCGCCTGGCGACTTCGGCTTCACGGAGAGCGACTTCAGTCTCGCGGGCAACAAGGTCGTGGCTCCGCTTGGGAGTGAGATAGCCCCAGAAGGAGTGGCTAACACCAGTCTCCTGGTCGTTGGTGTGGATCTCGGGAAGCGCAGCACCGTTATTCCGGGATGCATTGGGGATAACACTAGCGCCTCCACTGCGAGAGGGAAGGGAAAGCATGACCGCCAAGACGGCGAGGATCAGGGAAAGGACGAGAAGAAGGGTCGTGGAGGAGATGGTGCGGTGATGGTGAGTAGAAGAGCTGGTTCGGTGGGTTCGTTCACGGGTCGTGCCACGGTCATCATCACGATCGCGGTCGCGGTGAGAGCTGGATGGGTGGGCCTAAAGGCAAATTTCAAAATTAACCAGGAAAGAAAAAATTAGCTTCCGATTGACGAGATTGCCATACTCGAGATGAGAATGTGAGGAAGAGAGTACTAACCATTCGGGGAGAGCGGACTGTGGAGGGAGTAGACGTGGAGGTAGAGGAAGTTTCGTCGTTGGGTTGGGGAGCAGATGGCCTACGAGGCGAGAAGGTTGGGGTTTTCAGATATGTCGAAATCGTGGGCAACTAGTAAGTATACAGGGAGGACAGCTTGGCTGATGGGGGGAGGAGAGGGAAGGCGGGGTGGAAGAGGATGTGGAAGGATGGAGAGGGAGGGGGCGTAAAACTCACCTTTTTATGAGTGTTGGGAGACAAGGAACACCTCTGAGCTGTTGTTCAATGTTCAAAGCGTGGGAACGTCCCCAAACAACCCACAATGAACCACGAGGCCAACCTCAGGGTCTAATTTGCGTCCTTGTCGGTTCTGCCGCCTCCCCGACTTTATGCACAACGCACAACACGAGGTCCCAGCATGTCCCCGTCCATTGACACGAGTTTATCGTCTTATCTCGTACAACAATCGCCCCCGTCAACGCACTTGAAGAATCCTGAAGGGACGTTTGGAAGACTACTTACCTTCTCCTGGAGATCTCGAGCCCCACATTCACCTCAAACGCTCCGGAAAGCGGGTTGGAAACTGCCTGGTGCTTCACGCATCGCGTCTCGGTCGCCTAGCAGCAGATAGCGAGGCCAGTCTTGGAACGAGGTAGTCGGCGCTCGAAATGCATTTTAAGAACCAAGTTTCGATCATACGGTGGCCCGACAGTTCATAATTATTTGTACTACCGAAGCTGGTTATCGTGCGCAACTTAGTTTCCCGTTTCCAACGAGCAAGCCGGGGTCGTCGGGCTTTTATCCTGCTGAATTTAAGTACCCAACGGCTAGGCGGAGAAATAGCGGAACTAGACTTAAACCATGGCCCGCCCTCAATGACATCCCCCTTAACTCAGTGGTAGAGTATTGTACTTATGGGAAGCTTACCTGCGCTTCAGGCATGAAATGCAGTGGTCGCCAGTTCGACCCTGGCAGGGGGAAACTTTTACCCTGCGCGTCAAGACGATGATTATTCTGTTCCGTTTTGCTAAACAACCTATGCCTACTACTTCCTGTTCAGGCCGATCTCAGGGATGATATTGCAAAGCTTGGCTTGAAGTGTGTGCCTGGTCTGTAAGGGAAAGACTTGTCAGGGAACGACGCCGGAAGGCGGGAAGTCTTGTGTGATCAAATCAACAATTTTCCTCCACTCATCGCCGCTTCCGGCCTCGCAGAAACCACCGTACTGCGCTTTGCGGAGGAGCGGGAGTTGCAAAGGAAGTATCAGGACTTCCGCATTCCAACAGGACGATATTTGAACGCATTGGTGAGTTGCTTTCAACTGGGTGGGATGGGGTGCTGCTGCTGCTTAGGTGCCGCTGACGCTTTGACCACCCGCACGGACCTCCTCTCGATCGCGCGACGTCGTCATGTATGATTTAGGCGCCGTTAAAAGTTCAACGAACGGAAACTAAAAAGACTGCTGGCGATTGAGCAATTTGCTATTGGGATCTGGATAAAAAGAAAATGTCAGCGAGCACGGGAAACGACGTCGGACGGAGTCAACCGGCTGCATCACTTCATCATGGGCTCGCTTTACCACAATTTCCGTCGGCCAGCAGCTCCAACGTGTTAGGAAATGTGCAAGACAGTCACAACGAGGCCCACATGGCAGCTCCGGCTGGCGACGGGGAAGATGAGGATGACCTTGACGGACAACAAATGCACAGTCCGTTAATCGAGCCTTCCGGCAACGCAACGGCAGTCACGTCTTCAGCACTACCTGGTCAAGGATCCTCGCCTGCTAGGTCTCCTTCAACCTCCACCCTAGACAATACCGTTGCGCCCGATCCTGCGACAGAGGCGATAACTGCCGCTTCCTTAATCGTCGCCGCCGCCCAGCACCTTCCGCCGGAAGGTCTCAACAGCCTAAACGCGGTCTTCCAGATCGCACGTCAACAAGCCTCTCAAACGATCACTGGAGCCCCGCCCCAACCTGCCTTCTCATTTCCACATTTTGCAAATCCCTCAGAGGCAGACTCGGCCAATGCTATCGCATCGATGTTGCACGCGGCGTCATTTCTTGCTCTACCCCAATTAACAAACCATGGACACCAAGAAGCGACCCCAGGGGCTGGACCATCCACGGGAGGAGCCCCGACGATGAGCCCATCTTCACCTTCAACGAGCACTGTTCCACCTGGGATCGCAAGCGAAATTACTGCAATCCTTGATCACCTCTCGGCCCACCTTGAGAACGTTAATCGTCCACCAACGACCAATCCCGTCCCGCAACCTCCATCATCACCTCAACAAACCCTCCCAACGAATCGTGCGCCAACTTTGGAAGAACTGCTTGCTGCAGTGCCTCAAGTACCGCAACCAGTTTTAGGACGGAAAAAGCGTTCGACCGAGAACGACGTGCCGGTGGTACATGTCTGTGGCATCGACGGCTGTACGAAGGAGTTCAACAGGAAAAGCGATTTGATGAGACACAAGAGGATACATACCGGTGAACGGCCGTTCCCGTGCCATATATGCGGCAAATCGTTCATTCAGGTAAGGAATGCTGGGCACCATTCACGTCCAGGCTGCTAAAATCTCCTTGTTCGCCAGCAATCTGCCTTGACGGTACACCTTCGAACACACTCTGGAGAGAAGCCTCATTTCTGTACCGTACAAGGATGCGACAAATCGTTCAGCGATTCCTCGAGTCTTGCCCGACACCGCAAGACCCACGAAGGAGACCGTCCATTTACATGTCAATGGACTGGCGAAATTCCCGGCCAGCCCGGTATATCGACATGCGGAAAGAGCTTCTCTCGAAGAACGACCCTAACGAGGCATATGAAGGTACACGACCCCAACTGGACAGGAGGAAGCGGCGGTGGAGACGACGATAGCGAAGGGGAAGGATCCCCCACCACTTCGCAAGCCCAGGCCAAGAAAGCAAAACGAACGTTTGCACCCTATCCAAGACCTCAACCACAGTCTCAACCGATTCCACAGCAACCACCTATTATTCCTCCATCCCCATCGGGTCCAATGATACCTCCGCACTTCATGCCACACCCTCCAATGCCGGGACCGCCTCCTTTCCCTCACATGCCATACCATCACGGCATGGCTCACTCACCCCCATTACCACCCCCACATCATCCTCATCATCCTCATCCATATGCACCTCAGCAACCTTACCTTGGTATGCCGCCTCCAATGGGGACGCCTTCATTGGAGGATCAGGTGGCAAACACTTCAGCAGCTATTGCAGCAGCCATAGCTCAGGCGGCAGCAGAAAGTTGGCATGCCGATGGTGGAGGGGACGAAGATGAGGATGGAGACGGAGACGAACCCGAACCCGTCATGGAAGGTAACACGGCACAGTCGAACGACCCAGATTCGCAGGCGGAGCAAGCTGTCACCGGAAGCTCGGCGTGATAAGTATAGTGTAAACTTGTATCTTAGTTGATATTAGGCCCAACGTTGCTATATTCAGGTGTTCGCGTGGTTTCGAGTAAACAATATTAATTCAGGACCTACGTGCAAGGCATATTAAACTATCTAAGTCAATGCGTAGAAGAATCGGTCATAGAGCTTCTCGGTGAATGGTCTTGTAAGTCTGAGACTCCAGTTTCATGGTTTCCTGGTAGGTTCTTCAAACGGCGGAAAAATACACCAACATCCTCCAAGCTGTCTTTCAACTGCCTCGTCAGCCTTATTTCGGCTTTCTTAACAGCCTCTTCGTTCTTGTTCTCCAAATCTTCCAAAATAGGTCGCAGAGCACTCCTCGTACGTTCGAATACCTCGTTCCGTAGCTCTTCGGTAGGAAGGGGAGGTCCTTGGACTTGGGCCAGTCTCTTCGCGAGTTGGTCGATAATGCCGTTTCGACGGGCACGGTCTTGCTCAAGCTGTTGAATGCGACGGAGTATATCAGAAGGGAGGATAGACCGCCAACCAACGATATCACACACCATCCCCAAGCGCTCACGCAGGTCTACATTTTGATCTCGTAGGCTCTTCAATGACATCTCCGTGGTTTTCTCGGTCGCGTCGGCAACAATGTTTGCCACAAATGCCACTTCCTCGCTAAGCTGGTCAACCCGTTGTACAAGCACATCGGTTGGTGGGGTCGGCGTTTGATCTTGGTTCGTACCTTCGGGAGTTGTCGCTGCCTGGGCCTCAGCAAGGGAGTCAATCTTGGCCACGAGTGTAACTCGCGCATCCTCAACTTCTGCACGCGCATCCTCTAATCCTTGATCTAGCAGTTCGATTCGGCGTTTGAGTTTGGTGATTTCCTTGATAAGAGATCGTTCACTGGCTTGGCTCGCTTGGACCGATGACGATGAGGATGGTCCAGCGATGGGTTTGGCGGTATCCATATGGACGTCTCCATCTGCGTCATGTGCGTCGGGCTGGCCGTTGAGAGCGGCGGCATCGTTTCGATGTTGCACTAAGATTTTCGACGTTTCGCTGACCGCCGCAGTGACTTGATGGACGTCCTCTTGAACTTGCTTCAGCGATGCTAGGAGATTTTTTCGTTCCTCTGCGGCTTTGATATCATATTTTGTATCTCCTCGCTCGCTCGCTGGAGGTTGGAATTCTGGATTGTCGTCCCCCGGAGCGCCAGACGCCAGCTGGAAGCACAATTCCTTTAGCTTGGCGACGGCTGCTTTTTCGGCGGCCACTTTTTTGTCGAGTTCTTCGACCAGACGCTTTCGGCTTTCGGAGTTATGTTCTCCTTTGACAGGGTACCTGTCTTGAAGGCGTTTCAGGTTGTGGAGCTCTGTCTTGATATCCAGGTGTCTTGCCCGTGTCTCCACCGCTGCAACGAGCAACCTGTTCGAGCGAAGAAGCCAAATTAAGAGGTTAAATGGGTTGGCAGAGAGAAACAGGACCTCCCATACCAGATTTTCTTGAGCCACTCGTCCTTGGTAGTTCGGGCGGATTCAGTAGTACCTGATTTGGTTGCCATCTCTGGAACAACGTCGACCTCCATTGAAGTCGATAAAACTTCCTTTTCTTTCCCCTTTCCCTTTCCTTGAGATGCTGATTGCACATCCGCATTTCCGGAGGTGGAGGGATCTGAAGGGGATGGGTTGCCCCCAATAGGTTTCCAAGAAAGCCTTTGTGTTTGAGACGGCGAAGCGCGAGAAGCAATCTGTCTCAGCCCATCTCCATTGATTAGAGGTCGTGTGGCGGTAGAGTTGGGAGTGGATGAAGCATTGGTAGCGGGAGGGGCAGCAGGGGACTTGAACGGATTGTCAGCCTTCCTTTGGCCAAGACCCGAGCGCTTGAACGCCGAGTCCAAATCCGCTTTAGGGGCGTCTGTGGAAGGAATAGACGAGGGCGATTGGTTGGAAGACTTTGGGGGCATCGAGGCGGAAGTGGAAGTTGCGGGCATCGAGGTGGATGTTGAGGTTCTCCGTGAATGGGACAGGCCAACTTCTTTGTCTCCCTTTGCTGCCCCACGAGAGGATGACGATGCACCACCCCGGCTATCAGTAGCACTCGGTCGCTGAGACTGGTGTGGAGGGCTCAACGGTCTTGAAGACGATGCAGGAATCCGACTTCGAGGTGGTGGTGGAGTTGATGGAGTCCGGCCCCGACTGACTGAACGGCCATGTTGACGGTCTCTTCTATCTCTGTAGTCGTCTCTTCGATCATCTTTCCTTTCCCGGTGGTTATCTCGTCGAGGGGAGGGGTCTCGAGAGCGGGACCGAGACCTATCGCGGGTTGGGCGTCGGGTTGCCCACCCTCTATCTGGGCTTCTTTGCATTGGAATCTCGGGACTTTTTCGACTCGACTGGATTGGAACGAAGTTGGGGTCACGTCGAAGGGCTTCCTCGTATTCAGGATCTCCAGAGTGGATAAAACTGAAGCCGAGGTTCAAGGGAAAGTAAATTAAAAACCGCATGGTGCGTTAGGTAATTAGATTCCTTTGAAAAGATGTCATAGGACTTACAAGCAAGACTTTGGAGGGCGGTCGCACCACGGTCCGAACT